TTTCTTTTTCAGATTTGTGGCTCTGGAGGATTTTTTTTAAGGCAGTGGATATTTTGCCGGAGACGGCAAACCTTTAGTAAACAGTTAGTTTGCCGGATATGCACTGAACATGCGCAGTTACTGTTTTTTTGTACTTAAACATTTTCCGGTGACAAATTTTAGTCTGGCTCCATGCCAATATTATCGTTGTAACCTCGTATTCACAAGATGGGATTCAGACCATTTTATAATTTCGGACTTCATTTCCCTTTTAAAAAAAATCCTCCAGAGCCACAAATCTGAAAAAGAAAATGTAACACTCTGCAATAAAATGTTTGAGACATGTTAAAATAATAAAAGAAGAATATTCTTATTTATTCGTGGATGGGAAAAAAAAACTTTAAAATGTGGCGGGGATCGGGATCGAACCCAGGTCATTCCGCTCTCTAGAGCTATTGCTTAACCACTACACCAAACGAGCTTCACAACTTTTGGTGGGAATTTAATACATCTTATAATTCAGCCCTATCTTAAAGAGTACAGCGCCCTCTGTTGATATGGATTGCCGCCGGCAAACCTTTAGTAAACGTTAGTTTGCCGTCATTACCTCCGGCAAAATATCCACTAGGCCCCTATCTTTTTTTAAAGGGAAATAAAGTCCGAAATTATAAAATGGTCTGATTCCCATCTTGTAAATACAAAAATACAATGATAATATTGGCATGGTGGAGCCAGACTAAAATTTGTCACCGGAAAAATGTTTAAGTACGAAAAAACAGTAACTGCGCGCATGTTCAGTGCATATCCGGCAAACTAACGTTATATACTGAAGGTTTGCCGTCTCCGGCAAAATATCTACTGCCTTTTCTATTTTCAATGGCACACATGGGAAGTAAAAAAGAGGAAATCAGCTGATCCGAGTAAAAGTTGCATGCCTGACAGATAGCACCAGCCCCCCCCCCCCCCCCCCCACCCCCCCCAGCCCCCCCCCCCCCCCCCCCCCCACTATTTAGTATTTGATATTACGGAGGCCACTCTAGTCTCTACATTTCAGCTCGGATGTGCGACTGTGCGACTGCAAAAAGTGCCCTTTTCAAGAAATGTCCCCCCCCCCCCTACCCCCACTGTTTAACCATGTTGTTAACACTACGTAGAAAGTAAAAAGTCTCTATCGACAATAGTTCTTCACTATATCGCCAAAACAGTAATTTGAGTGGGAATTTTTGTTCAAATAGTACTTACCCAATTTGCTCTGTCAATTCAAAACAAGTAGAATTGAAAATGGCGCTGTGCATTGACCGCCTTTTTAACGAAGATTGTGATTGGACAATGCCTAATATTAGGCTCGTTCAATCAATCGATGTCCATTGTCTACCTCGTCCTCAGGGTGTCGAGCAGTACGCGCCCACACTCTCTATGAGGTTGGAAATAAAGTAAGCACTGAGGACGAGGTTGGGTGACCGTTTTATATCCGGATATCGGCAAAATTTGACAGAAGAAGTTTTCGGAAAAACCCGAGTTTGACAGAAAATTCAGCAGAATGAATTGTTACGCAGATTTCTAGCAGAATTCTGTAACTTTGGTAATGTGACAGAAAAATATGGCAGATTTGAATTGTATACAGCTGATTAGTTTTGAAAAGTTGAGGCTTCGAAAAATCCATGACGTGTATTGATACAGTGAAGTCACGGTTTTGCAAGCCAGGCTAGACACGTGCAAATTAAAAATAAATAAAAATAGTTAACCAATTTATGTATCTAGATAGATAGATAGATAAAAGTCATAACTTTTATCTATCTATCTATCTACTATCTATCTATCTATCTATCTATCTATCTATCTATCTATCTATCTATCTATCTATCTATCTATCTATCTATCTATCTATCTATCTATCTATCTATCTATCTATCTATCTATCTATCTATCTATCTATCTATCTATCTATCTATCTATCTATCTATCTATCTATCTATCTATCTATCTATCTATCTATCTATCTATCTATCTATTCTATCTATATCTATCTATCTATCTATCTATCTATCAAATTTGCTGCTCAATCGATCACTTAATTGATTGAACTCAAATGGAATCGAATGCTCTGGTAGCGAAAATGAAACGCGTGCTCAGAGCGATTCTCAAATTCAGATGAAAATGAATGACGTACGATTTTCAGAAGTGAATGAACATTTTAGAAAATTGGCCGGGAAAACCTATATTAAAGTATTAAAAATGTTAATATAAGTAATTAAAAAGTTCAGTCTTAAAAACAAATAATTTCTGTAAAGAAAATGTTAAGATTTTATGACATCTCAGGGGCGTAAGTCCCGGGAGGGGGGGGGGGATTGGGGTGGGGGATATATACCCCCCACTTTAAGACCAGGGCCCAATTTCAAAGAGCTGCTTGGCTTAACGGTAAGCAAATGGGGCCAGGGGTATGGGCTATTGAATCCCCCCTCCCCTCCCCCCCCTCCCCCCCCCCCCCCCACAAACACCTTTAATTTCGTGATGAAAAAAAATGCGGATTTCGAGGTATTTTCAAACATCCCAAGAACCAAAATGTATATAATAGCACTGAAAAGTGGAGAAACAAAGTACAAAAGCTTTTAAAATGCGCCGGTTTTTTTGGAAGCGCGAGTACGATCATTGATATACATTTACATTGTACATCTATATCCTGAAGAGTGCCCTCTAGTGTAAGGTGGTGCCCAATAAAATAATATGTACGTTTCCCGGCTGTTAATGTGGGGGTGGGGGGGGGGGGGGGGGGGGGGGGGGGGGGGGGGGGCGGGGGGGGGGGGGGGGGGGGGGGGGGGGGGGGGGGGCGGGGGGGGCGGGGGTCCTCCCCTAAATATTAACCCAGTACCAAAATGCCCCCAACACAAAACCCGAAATGTGACCCTCGCAGAGAAGTTTCATGAAATATAGCGTCCCTAGTGTCCAGTGGCGTAAATCTGACTCCTATATGAAAATCGGACTCCTTTTCCCTATTATTGGTTAATCCCTCACACGCGACATCGACAAGAGCCCTTTCCCAATCTAACACGAAATACACGGTGAGTAAAAAAAAAAGAAACCCAAATGTTGGGACCATTGTTTTAGTGAAGTTCTGCATGTAGCACTTTCAAAATTTAGGATAAAAGCCCAATACATAATTATGCTTTCTTTTAGTACAAGAATCATTCAAATCACTGACGTACTTTTCAAGATATAGAATTTTAAACACAACCACGGTTTTAAGGTTCTGTCCATGGATCACAAAATGGTCAGTGCTAGTCTTTCAGCAAAACGAAAAAAAATCACACATACAGGGATGTGTGTGAATTGTTTTCGCCGTGGACAGAACTTTAAAACGGTACGTGGGTTGTGTTTAAAATTCCGTAACTTGAAAAGTACATGAGTGATTTGAAAGATTGTTGTACTAAAAGAATGATGAATTGGTCTTTTATATCCTAGATTTTGAAAGTGCTACATGCAGAACTTCAATAAAACAATAGTCCCGACATTGGGGTTTCGTTTTTTTACTCACCCTGTATCCTAAAATGTTCATTCACTTCTGAAAATCGGTCATTCATTTCGTCTGAATTTGAGAATCGCTCTGAACACGCGTTTCATTTTCACTAGCATTCGATTCCATTTCAGTTCAATCAATTAAGTGATTGAGTATAGCACCATTCGTTTATGTCAATTCAGATTCATTTACAAGACTTCTTTTTCGCTTTTAGAGGGCGATTTCAAACATTCACCATTCTATTTCAGTTTTAGTTTAATGTTATATCGCACCAGATACAATTAGGGGTTTCTTTTTCATTAACCGTCAATCAAGTTACCTGTACCTGAAATCAATTTAGAAAAGGTATGCTTGCGTAGATGAATGCACAGGTAGGTAATTGGCCGTCGTTTCTCAAAACCGATGCACGTACAATGAAAACGCCTGAACTTCGATAAATTGAAATAGATTAAAGACGTGCATTCAAATTCAAACGAAAACGAATGACTGATTTTCAGAAGTGAATGAACATTTCAGGAAATTGGCCGGGAAAATCTATCAACAAATAAATAAACACCACAGTAGCTGCTTTATGTCAATTCAATTCAATTCATTCAATAGCAACATTTATTTCTACACTTTCCACAAGCAATTAAGTTTCCAAATTGTTTTTTTTTTTGATGTTACAGGTGCTCAGCTGGAGTGGGTGGGAGGGGGCCGGCTATATGAAAAACCGTTGGTTCCCATGATCGGAATACACACCACGATTCAACCAAAACTAACCACAACTCATTCGCCCAAACAGAATCGTTTTATTTTCTTTCTATTTTTCTTCCATCGGTAAACAGTTACAGATCCTCTGATAATAAGAAATTATATTGTGCAGACTACATCGCATCATTTTTGTCTGCAAATAGTACCTAGTAATCATACTATGGAAATGAAAATGCAATGTAAAATGGTAGATTCTACAAAGTGTCAGAAACAAAAGGAATGAGCCTATTTTTAAGATGCCTAGTGAACAAAAAAGAAGAAACAATCCGCTACTATAAGTTAGGTTACTGTCCGAAACTTAAATTTACAGAATTCGTTAAAGTAACAGCCAATTATTAAGAAAACAATCTTTCAGGAGAGATCAGGTAATTCAACAAGAAAATAAGCCCCATGAGAAGTGGTCCCAAAAAGTCGTTTTCATTCGTTTTCTGGTTAGTAATTTAGTAATTTTGCACACACTACTTTTTTTTTTTTTAGATGTACAGCCACAGACCCACTACAAAAAAAAATGATTATAAATCGCAACAATGTAATTTCAGTTGTGAACTGAATTTTTACAAGCAACAAGTGCAGATATATACAAAAGAGAAAGGTGTATCTAATCTTTACACCTACTAAATTATTGTTTCTTGGAAACAATTACGACGTTTGCCCACTCATGTCTTTAACAGCAATAAAATAATCAAAACTATAAAGAGAGTTAAAATAAACACATGAAAAAATGCAACCAACAGGATCACAATTTTGAACAAATTTGAACAAATGTGATGGGCTTTAAACAAAAAAAATAGTTCAACAAGTTGAAGTCTTGTTAGAAACAAACACGAGTGTGATTGAGTTCCATTTACAATGACCTAATTCCACATACATGCATAAAGTAGGCTAAATATTTAACCAAACATCTACTCAGCATAATTCAAAATCTAGAAAATTGTAAAAATTGTACAAATCCACATAAAGTTTGTATGCCATTTATCATATAAATTTATGTATAAAATTTGAGATTAAATCATTCTCTACTGGTCTTCTACAAATCATTGAAGTGATTTACAAATTTAAATCACGACACATTATGGCACCAGCCAACACATCACCAAGAATAAATAATGTCTCCAAATTCTCCAACATGCACTGGATGTACATAACCTGAATACTGAATCATGTATACTAATGGGTAAAATCTATATAAGTTTTAACCAAAAATACATGTGTATATCAGCAGGAACTCAAAAGTTTCATAGGTAAATTCATTTAAAGAATAAAACATTCTAAGCAAAAAATCATCTGATGCATAATATCCATATTGTGAGCCAGTTACTTGCGGATTTACGACCCCAGTGAATGAGCATAGAAAGAGACGTGGAGCTGCTACGCAGAAAACAGTGTGTGACATGTTCCCAATAAGACCAATATGCCGGGCACTTGTCACAAGCCATGTGAAGCACACACGGCACACTGGTTACCTTACTTTTTTATAAGCAAAATTTTGTTCTATGTTAATTTCTTATTAATTCTAGAATTCATTTGTACCTTCAGCTAGTTACTTTTTGTATTTTTTTTCTCTTTTGTATTTTGTAATTATATTTGTACGTGTATTTATGTGCCAAAATAGGAAACAGGCCACGTACAAGCATTTGCTTTTGCCTGGTATCCACCATTTATCACCCCCTAGTGTGCATTATATAAATAACTGTTCCATTATTTATTGTGACGTATGGAAATAAACCAAACCCACTACGAATTTGAAAGTGTAACTGCATACAAATTCTGCAGACTTGGAGATATTCTACAGAGTATTACTCCACAGGGTTCTTGGGCACCTCCTTCATCTTGTTGGCATGCTCCAGCTCATTGCGGAAGTAGTCAATAGTCAATTGTAGGCCCTCGTCAAGGGGCACCTGCAAACCAACAAAATCATGGTAGAGAATAAATAATTACTGGGTTTACAGAAGTAGGGGAGTTAAGACTAAAATTCAGTATCTACGTAAGCCACCTTGGCATTCTAGTGACAAATGTGCCCCACCAGTTGGCAACTGCACACATCAAGCTCTGATGCCTTTTCCTTTCAAGACAATTTGCTGCAAGCTTTCAGAATTACAGAGGGTACTGATGAAATGGAGAAAAAGCTCCTCTTTTAAAGTACGAATTGTGTTTTACAACATTTTTTATTCTCACTTTTGCACAAACTGTAATTCTTGTTCTTTCCTTCTCCCTTGCTTTTTTAAACTGCAGGTTTGGTTCTGATTTCCCCCCATGAGCTTGTACAGGGTGAGTCAAAAAAAGCGGAACCCAAACCCCCAAAAATATATTTCATATTTAAAAAAATATGTTTCACCAAAAATAATAATGACTGGAAAGCCAATTTCATAAGCTACTTTTAGATGAAAAAAATACTGAAAGTGGTCAATCCGTTCAAAAGAATATCACCATTTAAAACGCAACACCCTAAACCTTTCTCTCGTCCAAAAAAGCAATTTATTGTGCGTTTTGACTGTTTGGAACAACAAAGAAAATGACACAGAATACTTGTTTTAACAACTGTCACCACCTGTAGTGCACAATATCTTTATTAACAACCCCGGTTAGGCAAACAATATAATTTATAAAATCTACTTTTTCTAAAAGAGACGGGCCTTCAAAAAGACTTTGTTGAATATTTAAACGTTTAAACTAAGAGATTATCGCTGGTGATGTTTAAACACAATTGTGACGACGATTCTTGAAATCGCATTTTTTTGGACGAGACAGGTTTTAGGGCCATTGTGTTTAAATGGTGATATTCTTTTAACAGATTGACCAATTTCAGTAATTTTTTCATCTAAAAGTGGCTTATGAAATTGGCTTTCCAGTCATAATTATGTTTGGTGCTACATGTTTTTTTAAACATGAAATATAGTTTTTGGGGTTTGGGTTCCGCTTTTTTTGACTCACCCTGTATACATGTTATCTGGTGCATTTGTACACGTATCCTCAAATCTTGTGCACACATTAATAGATGAACTTCATGGAATTTTAAGATTTTAATAGAAACACATGCGAACTGAAGTAGGGAAGTGAAGGTCCACAATAGAAGTCCCAATAAACTATGTGTATTCATTGTACTATTTATCTCACCACAGGTTCCCAGCCTAGCACTTTCTTTGCTTTGGAAATATCCGGCTTACGGCGTTGTGGATCATCCTCAGCAGCCAGCCACATTCTTTATGATGTTGTTGCCTCCTGAAATAACAAACAGTAACATTCATGTTTATAATGTGATCAGGTTTGGAACATCAGTAATGTCAGGTTGACATCTGATTATAAACTTCAGTCCTCCTCTTGATTTCTTTTGTCAAGTAAACTCACAATCTACATGTACATCCATATTTTCATGTCATTGTCTGCCAACAAACAAGCTTTTCTCTACCTTAATTAAATGTCCCTGTCCATGAGCAAAGAGTCAAAAGTCATGTATATGAAACATTTAAATTTCAGAGATATATTTCAATATTTGTTTCACACCTCAGCATACAATGGGGTATTCAAAACTGGATTAAAGGCTCAAGACGACCAAGATTTTCATAGTATTTTAAATTTATCATTGGCATTTATATCGAGTAAAACAAACAAAGAAGTAGCTGATCCATACAAAAGGTACAATGTATAAGCTAAAAGTTAAATGAGAGCATGAAATGCTTCAGCAATATCCCTCTTTTATCTTGTCTTAAATGTACCGTAGTTGTACATGAACTTGAAGCCATCAAGTGTCTAAAACCACTTAGGTTTTAATTCTATCTCTCTGCTAAATTTTGTCATTCAGTAAAGTTTGCCATAGAGTTACTATGCACCTAATCTCTGTGAGTGTGACCTTTAAATGGTTGGGTGGTGCTGATCAAACACATTTATACTTGTTGTTCTTTATCCTGATTTACTAACATAAATTGTGTACTTGCCTATTTTATTCCTGATAATCTGGGCAAATTCCATGATAGTGTGCTCATCTGGGTTACCCTGTGATAACATTAGAAACAAAGTCACAAATCAAACTTGAACCCTGATACTGGATTTAAGTGAGTCAATGATCAAACTGCAAGCAGGAAGGGGTAGTGACTGTATGGGATGGTTAGGGTTATAAGTCATTGTAATTTATATTTATGCAGCTGCAAAGAATTTGTTTTAGATCAAAGATAATCACTTTATTAACAATTTATATTTCATTCTTAATAATATTTTTTATTTGATATTTTTATGCAAAAAAATCTTAAATTCTTTTACCAAATTGACAGGAGAGGATACGTTGGAGTTCATCAGTTTGATCAGACCATCCACTAAATCACTGCAGTAAAGAACAGATGAAAAACAAGTCAGGTGTGTTTACAAACACAATGCCCCGCAACCATGACTGTTCCCATGACATAACACCACTCTTTTAACATCAACTTACATGTACATGTACTTGGGTCACATGGAACGTTCATTGACATCATAAGTGTTTTCTGTAGTTTTTTTTTAGTATTTAATCCCTATGATCACAGAATAAATACAAGATTTCTATTGTTTTAGACACTGTGACATTGACCATCGACATTTTGGCCCCAAATGCAATAGGCTTCTTAGGATTACCAAAAACAATCCATAAACCAATTTGAAGTTCACATGTAAAGTATTTCTCAAGTTATCGCGCTGACAAAATTCCTTTTGTTTTATTACTTTGCTCATTGGATCAGTGAAACATTCTATATACCATCTCAGCTCCCTGGGAATTACACAACTCCATACTCCCATTTCGGTGCAATGCAGATAAAATCAATCACAATAACCATCTCTGCCCTCACAGGTACCTAATTTCCTCCGTGGTGGGGGGTGGGGAAGCAATGAGTGACAAAGTTCCTTGCCAAGGGCACCATAAACCCATGCTGGACTCGAACCCACAACCTGCAGAATTACCCACAGACCACAAATTCAATGCTCCAGAACCACGAGGCCTTGGCACCCCTGTGAGTGTTTGGTAAATGTAATAATATTAATAATAACAAGTTCTTATAAAGCGCTATTTCATATAGATCACAGCGCTGTGACATGCATCAAACCTAATAGCAGGATACTTCATACCTGACGTATTGGAATGACCGAGACTGCTTGCCATGGCCATAGACGGTGATAGGCTGGGCCTGCAGAGTCTGCAAGATGAAGTTGCTGACAACTCGGCCATCATTCATGTGCATGCGAGGTCCAAACGTGTTGAATATTCTGGCCACCCGTACCTCAACTTTTCCTGTGTCATAGTTAAGAGCAACATGTTAATTAAATAAATTGGCTCAGGCATCTAGACCATGTAGACCAAGGTCATATTTTGTGACAATTAGTTACTGAACAATTTTTGCAAATAGAGTATTTGTCCATTCCAGACCATAAAAAGTACCTCCACGTGTCATTTAACCTGAACTCCCTAGCATGATTTACTAGGAGCTATACCCATCCTGGCAAATTCCTGGGGTTTGATGGGTTGAGTTCTGTTAGGGTTAATAAAACCATACAGCATATTCATGAAACACATGAGCTTTCTTTGTGCAATTGATCTAGTTCATTGTTTTTGCTCCCCACCCTTTTTTATTTGGAAATCACACCATTTGCTCCCGTTACTTGCGCATAAGACTCTTTTAAAATATTTGAAAGAGCTCAAATTTCATAAAGGAAAAATGCTTAGAGTCCAAGCCCCAGCCATGTCTGAAGTTCTTCACTTTCTTCTTAAGTGGGTCAATGACCTCCATCACTTATGACTTTTACCTGTTTGGCATAGGCATAGCACATTGTCTCTGCAACCCTCTTGCCCTCATCATAGCATGCCCGAGGTCCAATGGGATTGACATGACCCCAGTACTCCTCTGTTTGGGGATGCTGCTGGGATCTGTAAACAACAGACAAAGCAAGTCAGGGGAGTCAGGTTGGCATAGCGGTTCTTTCCTTGCATCCACTATTAAACCGACCCGGGTTCGATTCCCACCTTGGCCAACATGTGGATTGGGTTTTCAGTCCCTACCTGATTCGGTGGGTTTTCCCCAGAATATTCTTCTGGGGTTTTCCTTCCATGTGTAAAAACTGTAGTTTCTTCTCATTGTCTCCTCTCTCTACAGTTTCTTCAGGATTGCGAGCTACAGTGCCTAGTGCACTTTTGATGTAGCCTTGGTTTCATCACCAGAAATACATATAAGTAATAATCATAATAATAAATACATCATATTTGTGTTTGCAGGATTTTGTTGCATATTCTTACTGTGGAATATTTTGGGGGGTTGTCACTAAATGCACTGGGAAGTTTCACATATCATATTTCCTTATAGAATGAAAGTGCTTGCAAAGTTTTCCTACTTTAAGTCTCACCTCCATATACTTCTGATGTTGATGCCTGTAAGAGCCTTGCCCGTGTCCTCTTGGCCAATCCCAGCATGTTGAGTGTTCCTAGAGAGCTTGTCTTGATGGTCTTGATAGGGTTGTACATGTAGTGGGGTGGGGAGGCTGGACAAGCCAAGTGATATATCTGATCCACTGCAAAAACGACAGAATACATATTAACACATAATGAGCATATTCAAGTCTACTGTGCAGCCAGGTGTCTTTTGTCAAGGAATATCGCTTTGCAAATGAGTGTGTTTGCACGTCCATGCCGATGGGTGCGGATGTGTGCAAATGGGTGCCAAATCTCCTTTGTTCGAGCTTGCACGCATGAACATGCAGATGCTTGGGGTTTCGCGCGTGTGCGTGCGCGTACGCACGCTCCCTCGTGGAATAACTATGTGCTTGGCTGGTACTGGCAAGGGGCCTGGATGTGGATAATAGCACGAGCCGAAGGCTAACTGTGGTAAGCACATTTTGCCAGTGTACATGCATGCACTATTGCACAAATAAGCAAAGCCTTTGTCTCAAAGAGATTGTGAGAGGGAAGTCAGCTATTAACCAATGAAATTGGTGATGTTATTATAAATATGCATGATCCTTGCTGAATGCGCACCTTCTATGAGAAGTGGTTCGACAACATCGTGATTGATCAACTCAAAATTAGGATGTCCGACCCATTGCTCGATGTTTCGTTTGCGGCCAGTGAAGAAATTATCCACCACAGTGACTTCATGACCTTCCAGCATCATCAGCCGATCAGTGAGATGAGAGCCCACAAACCCAGCACCTCCGGTTATCTGGGATCCAGTAACAAAAACAGTTGATTGAAATAGGACTTCAATCCAAGACCACTGGAATATCACTCACATGCTTCGCCAATGTCTACTCATGTGCACTATTTGTAAATACATGTATAAATATGATTTATAAGCCTAATACATATTTGACATAATGGTTTGTAAATGTTATCGAAATCTGTGAATTCGGAGGTTGGCCAATGACTTACAATGACAAGTTACATGTGTGAAGAACTTTCATGACACCCTCTTTTTTAATGGTATGTGTAACCATGTTTCGTCTTACTCTGCTTACCATATTCTTTTTCTTTCACTTTCAGGCAGATAACGGACTTCTGGGTACTTCCTCACAGTCCTGATGAAAAGAGTTGAATACATAAAATGATAAACAAATCCATGAAATATGCTGTCAGATGTTCCGTAGCATAATTAAATCATTAACCCTAACTCCCTAGGGGGTGCGCAAAATCATATTGAAATTGGAGCATTCATGGACTGTTAGGGTTAAGTGAGGTGTGTGTGTCTGGGGGGGGGGGGGGGAATGCCGCTTTGCTGACAATGTTTAATGTTTAAATTTAATCCAGTATAATTTTTAAAGAGGACACAACCCCAATAAAAAGGAAAAAGAACGGGAAAAGAGTAATTTCAGAACTTTATTTTCCAAAAATTAAAACCTAAAGAGTTTACCTACACCGAACAGCTGTTTCAAGTTTATTATGCTAATGACTGTTGATACCAAAAGCATCTGGCATGGCTTTTGGAAATAAACTGCATTATTTATTCAGAGGTTAATATAAATCGCACCCCAACATGCTACGCGGCAGGTGCTTGCTTTGTACTTTCTACATTTATTTTTGTCTGTTCAAAAAGTTGTCATTAAAAAGGCTGGCTGAAATACAAGTAAAGG